AGCTCTGTGTGAGAGGCCAGATCAGCTCACAGACTGGGGAGATTCTCGTGTGTGTGTGTGTGTGTGTATGAATCTCCACAGCTCAGGCTAGCGGGGTACCTCAGGGGCCCTTCACCTTTCTGCTGATCCAAGCTTGTGGTCCGCTTGCCTGAGAAAGTGCTGACGCCAGAGCGTAAAGCACTCTGTCCAGCTCTGGCTGAAAGCCCGCGGGAGGGACGCTGAGGGTACAGCCTGGGGAGGAAGAGCACAGAGAAGCACCGTCTGCACATGGACGCCTGGCCCGACACTTACTTCACGCTTTCCCATTTTGGAAGCTTGTGTGTTTGCCCTTTTCATCTGAGGACCTTCCCTCCTGCTCTCTTTCCTCTGGGCAGTCACCGCCATGGGCTACGTGTGTGTGTGGGCTGCCTTGCGTATGACCAAGGTCCTTTCCCTTTGTATACATCTCATTGTTTCTTACTTTTTCTAAACTTGGAAATGTTTAAAGATCTGTGCATCTTTAATTTATGCATCTCATCTATCGCATCTGACTGAGAGCACCCATGTGGGGCCCAGGATGCCCCTCCGCACCCTGCCTTATCCTGTCCTGGTGGACACTGAACACCTGCTCCTCTGCAGCACCAAATCCTAAAGGAAGAAGCCTTTGCAGCCTGGAAAATGCTGGACTCTGCTGTGTAGCAGAAGCATTTCCGAGGTGTCATGAGAGGGGTTTCCCCGGGGTCCATGAAAGAGCAAATGAATATTCACACGCAGACTTGCAAGGCTGCCCGGCTAAGTGGACTCTCGCTACCCGCTTATAGCCTCTTCTGTGCCGATGGGAATTTGTAAGGAGCTCTATCACTTTTGCCCTTTAGAAAAACATAACTAAAGGTCTAAACTAGGGAGACTGTCAAAGCCTCAGGGTCCGCGTAACCCTGATATCTTACACAAAGCCACCCCTAAAAGCCAGTGCTGGAGGCGGTCAGCAGGAGAGCTGGGGGAGGCCTCACTCTGCCATTGTTATCTGAGTCCCTTCCCTGGCCCTGGGGGAGCAGGGGTGCTGTCTGGCCACCGTACCACGTGAGATGATGACTGTGAAGCGACACTGAGGCACTACCCACTGTGAGCGCTGCTGTCATGGCTGTTCACCTGCAGGTGCGGCACCTCCCCTCCTCTCACCTGGAGGACACTGCCAGGGCTCCCTGGGAGAAGCCACAGTGTGGCTGCCCCACGAGTCCTTGCTTTGCCCGTCATCTGTCCTGGCAGCGGCTCCGGCCCCCGTCGCTGGGTCCCCACTGCTGCCCAGACCTGGCTGCTCAGTCATGCTGAAGCCCTGCAGGAGGTCCTGGAAGAATCAGGGCTGCATCAGCCTCTCAGGTATGGAAGTCCATCTTGGCTCAGGCAGTTTCGGCAGTTTCCAGGAGGAAGTGGGCATCTGCTCCCCCAGGCCGGGGCACCAGGGGCTGGGTTGTCTGGGGTTGGGGGCTGACCTTGAGCCCCTGGAGCTGCCGGCAGGCGCCCCTGTAGAAGGCCAGCATGTCATCCCTGTGCTTGCTCAGCTGGGCCGCCACATGCAGGCTCTGGTCCTCAAGCTTGTCATATAGCGTGCGGACACTGATGTCCTCCAAGGTTGTGGCCAGGGGTGGCTTCCCTGCAGGAAGAGGCCTTGGAGTGAGACTGTGGGATAAACAGGGCCTCCTTCCCCTCAGGAGCTGTCTTGACGGAAGAAGGAAGAACGGTGTGAGGCCCCCACGCTGGCCTGGGGCTCCGCCAGGGCAGCACCTGCAGGAGCTGAGTGTGAGGCTGAGGGATCGTCCACTGCCAGTCTTCCCCAGGCCTGGTGGGTGCATTTGGGGGGAAGGGAAGCCCCATCTGTGCTGCAAAAGCAGTAGGGGAATTCTCGTTCTGAGCAGCAAACATGGGCCCAGCTCTGGCAGAGCCAGTATCGCCTCCTTCCTCTCTCTGTGGTCAGGGTGGTGTCTGTCCCCCGAGCTCACCAGCCGGTCAGTTGGGAAGAGGGTAGGCAGCTGTCAAGAAGGCCGGACTGGGTCCTCCACTCTACCAAGCTCGCCCTCTCCACTGCCCTGTCACACACCGCACAGTGAAGGGGAAATTCACCCTCCCCGAAGGGACCCGTCCTCTATCCAGAAGGGCCCTGTCCCACCTCCTCCTGTGGGAGCTCCCAGCCCTGGGTCTAAATGGAGGCTACCTTTGGGGGTTAAAGTGCCGGCCTCAGTCCTGACTCTGTGTAGCCCCTCCGTGTCCACTGCACACCCGCCCCCTGGTCACATCCCACCCACTGGTCACCCGTGAGGGGTGGCCCGGGTGGGAGGGTAGGCTCGTCCTGGACTCCGTCAGTCCTCTGCTCACGTTGGGGGGGCGCTGTCCTCACTGTCCAGAGCCTTCACCAGGAAAGTGGCGACTGGCCTTTAATCCCCATGCGAAGGGTGCTCGGGGGCAGCAGAGCCAGGCCTGCCCTGCATGGTGTGCCCGTGGTGTAGGGCTCGTGGGTGTGCA